CGGGGCATCTGCTCCTCCCGTACCCGGCGGCTTCCTCCCGCCGCGGGGAGGGGAGGGGAGGGAGGAGACCAGCGACCGTCTCCCATCGGCATGGCATACCGGCCGCCGCCGGCAGAGTATTATCCCACGCCGGCGTCAACAGGGCCGCTCGGTACGCACACACAACAGCCCCGGGCAGGGCCGGAGTGCGTACCGGCCCTTTGGCTCCGACCCATAGCCCGCGGCCAGCGTGACGTCATCGGGGGCTCTGCGTCTTCTTGGCTTCCGCGAACCCGAGGGCGCAGTGGCCAGTTGCGCTTCAAGAGGCTCGCGGAAGGGTTCCAAGGAGCGACCTGACTCTTCACTCAGGTAAGCAGTGTCCTTGCTACAACAGCCGCCTCGAGCAAAGTCCAAGTGTCGTGGTTACTAGCGCTTCTACATGTAAGTTTCTGGTATGCCGAGGCATATCTCTGAATCCACTGAGGAGGTACCCGACAAAACTATCGCTCGGGTTCCAAACGTTTAAAGCTCACACGTCCCCTGGTCTGACCGCGAGCTGTAAGCCGGACGGAGGTCGTGCCGGTCCGTTTTCACCCACAGACGCTGCATGGTTCGAGCCTGACGTACCGCCGTTGTTCCGCAGACACATCAATCACCATGTGGAAGCTGTTGACTGTTGTTCTGCTGGTGGCGGCCGCACAGGCCAAGGAGCAGAGGTCCAGCTCGTACGACACGGCCGACTCGTACCAGCAGAGCTCCTACTACCCGGCTCCCGAGTACGGAAACAGACACGCACACTGTCTGAGTTTCCCTTCGCTCACTGTCTCTGAACCACTGTCTCAAAGCCTCCCCTTGATCGCTGTTTCTGAGCCTTTCCCTCTTGAACACTATCTCTGAGCCTCCTCACGCACGGTCTCTGAGCCTCCATTCGGTCACCGTCTCTGAGCCCTTCTCCCTCGCTCGTTGTCTATGAGCCTTCCTTGCTCACCGTCTCTGAGCCTCCCTCGTTTACCGTCTCTGAACCTCCCTCCTTTTGCACACTATCCCTGAGCCCCCTTCGCGCAGTGTCTCCGATCCTCTCCTCCTTTGTCGTCCCTGAACTTCCCCCTCTCTCAAACTGTCAGCCCCTGGTCGTTTCATTTCGACCACTGGACCGCTCCGTCATAGTTTTTAATTGTCAATTCAGGATCAAAAGCTTAGCAGCACTGCGTGTTATCAATATGTTGCGTGGTTGCATGCTGTTAATGCCCATGTCTTTTCGCTTTGCTGATACTTTATCTACGGTAGTTACATTTTGACGACTCTGTATGTGGTTCACATTTTTTTGCTCGAGCTCACAACAAAGGCCAAACTCATGCAAACTTTCCACCAGATAAGTAGCCTCGCTAATTCAATAATCAACTATACCTGCCGAAATACAAGTCGCAACGCTTACCGTAATGCAACTGCTGGTAGAAGTGATTATTGTTTCATATGTTGACATAGCTGTCTTCCCTTTCTCTAGGTATGACGGATATAGCAAACCCGGTATCAGCCTATTCAACACTGACCTCGGTAAGTAACACAGTGCATATGACAAGTGGCATTTCACAGGCTTTGCTTTCGAATGTCTTCGCCGTCTCGAGTGGTGCTAATAGAGTGAAACCAGTGAGTTTTGTCAACAGCTTCCAAGCATTGCGATATTTACGTACAAGCCATTGTGTTGACTTTTGTGTGTTGTGTTGTTTCCTCGTAAAACGTTTCTCTTCTTACAGAATATTCACTAGATAGATGGGCTGATGTTTGCCGACGATAAAGCTACCCAATGCTTTATATAAACGAGCTGCATTCAAATCAGTCGTAAACAATAAAGACCGTTCAGCCGTATCAACGGTGCACGGCACATTGCAGCCACCTGTCCTTTACACCTCTCGTTGGTACCTGTTCATTAAACTCTCGCAGTCACCACTCACCTGTTCGTTACACTACTCGCATTCACCTGTCCATTACACCTTTTGCAGTCGTCTGACCTTTCTTTCTCTCTGCAGAGGGCTGGATCAACCTGGGTCTGAACGTGCTCATCCTGGTGCTCATCGGCTTCGTGGCATTCACCATCAGCGCGTCCGTGGGTAGCGTAATCGAGAACGCCGACGAGCGGCACTTCAACCTCGGCGGCATGGACGTGGTCGGCACCATCGAGCGCCTGCAGAAACTCTACGACAGCGTGGTGGCCAAGCAGGCCTAGAAGACCCCCAGCCGCCCTGGATCATAAATGACACTGTTGTTACGTGGGAAGATGAGGAGTGTGATCAGCCAGCTTAGTCTTGGCATTGTTATTTTGTTTTGTCAATCTGTACACGGTGGCCCAGCCGCTCAATGTCACGCATACGGGTATCCGGGGCATTGTCAATATCATCCCTTTGTTGACGCACTGTCAGGGAGAAAGGAGCACTGAAATGTTGTGTAACTTACTGTGTACGTGCTATGCGCGATTTGATAATATATTTGTTTGCTATTTTGGGCTGTGTCAAAAGTCAATCCAGCTTGAGAAATCACCATGGACATTTAACAAAATGGCATAACACGTATTCCTTTTGATTATTAGCAAATGAGGCTACGCAGAAGTTCTCAACAATCTGATGGGTATTCGTCGAGTTGTTCCACGTCGTGATAATGCAATCACATTCAAGGTTCCTCAGATAAACATACATACACATAAAAGGGATGTTCTCTGACGCGTTTGTCAAGACACAGAACCATGAATTATCAGAACCTTCATTCCTAATCTGCCCCAAGTAACCTACGAAACCTGATCATGATCAAAAGAACCATTCTCAATTTGTGCGTAAAATCCAGCATGCGCGTATAAGGCAGTGGACAACCATTCATGATTCAACGTGATATTTCAGCCATTCTATCGATTGCAGAGGTGAAAATATATTCCCTCTTTTCAAACTTTTACTGTGAAAATGAATACATTTTAATTGAACCTTGAAGTCTCTCGACATAATGCGTTCCTTCCAATGATTTCGAAAAACCTCTACCTTCGCAAAGCAAATACACGTATATTCGCTACAAGAACTTTTTCAGAATTCTAGCAGAAAACTCTGTTAGAACAGGTCACGGATCAAAAGAGCGAAGAACAATAGCACAATACGCCAATTTTGCACTTTACGAAACAAGTACCTGAAGTGGTCAGGTAAAGGCTACGTGCTCTGTGATTGGAAGGAAAATGATTGTTCTGCCAAAATGACACGTGGGACGAAAGACAATGTTTAGGTAAGCGAGATAACGAGAGATCAGCGGTAAAAATTAAGGAAAAACGTGAGGAAAGCTCGCGCGAATACTCAGCCTGTCAGACGCCACTGTGCACTGTAGAAAAGCTATATTTAGCGTAGATATATCGAGATGTGAAACAACTGTGTAACGAGAGCCGGAATAACAATGGAGCGGAAGCGACAGTGCCAGAAACACAAACTATTTTAGATAAAAGATAGAAACGGGCTTACAGAAAACAACGAAATAATTACGCCAATTAAAGCACAATAAACTTATTTTAGAACGCAAGTAACATTATATAATCTTAAGACAATAACGAAGATAATACGATTTAAATATAATACTAAAAACGAGATCAGAAGGTACTTGAAAAGGAAACAGTATTTGCGCACACGCGACAAAACAATAGCGCACTTGGGCGGAGACGCCGCAACTAAATAATGTGCCGGTGGGCTGCGCGGCACCACAGTACTTCCCCCCCCCCCCCTAAGAGCGGAGCGGGAAAAGATAAAAAAACTCACGAGGGTGGAACACGAAACCGAACGCGGCGACCAGCACGAGTGTACACGGCGTCTCGCTGTGGACGAACAGGCACAGGCGACGGCGGCGACGCGGGAGCCGAGCTCTGGCCCCCAAGACGGCGACCACGACGTGGCGGAGCAGATGGTGGCGGCGCTACGTCAGCACGGTCCGGCTCCGCTGGCGGCGATGATGAAGCGTGCACAGGCGGTGCAGCGCTGGCCAGGCCGGGAAGCGGGGACAGCGCGGCATCGGCGCGGCCCGGCTCCACCGACGGCGATGTGGTTGTACCGGACTGCACGGGGGGCAGGGGCGGTTCGGCATCGGCACCGCCCAGCCCACCCGGCGGCGGTGACTGCGGTAGGTATGCTGGCTTGAGCCGCTCGACCGAGACGGTGTCACTCTTCCCCGACGGCAGCTCCAGCTGGTACCAGCGATCCCATCGTCTGAGGACGCGCAGAGGGCCGATATAAGGCGCCTCCAGAGGGCGGCGCACGCGGTCAACCCGCAGCCAGACGTGTGAACACGTCGAGAGGTCGGTCGGCATGTGCGGCTGGGTCAGTCCATGGTGGCTGCCTTCAGACGGCGAGAGGAAGTCTGTCCTGGCGATTCGGCGGGCCAGCTCCCCGACGGTCGCGGCGGCGCCGTCCGGAGCAGGCTGCCGGTCCACACTTATCCGGGGCTGCAACAGCATGCCCCCGGTGACGGCAGTGAACGGCGCATAGCCAGTCTCATTCATGGCCGCCCGGATGCCCAGGAGGACCACAGGTAGTGCTTGTAACCACTGTTTCTTGCTGGCGATGATGGCCGACTTCAGCGTCCGATGCTGACGCTCCACCATGCCGTTGGTCTTGGGGTGGTACGCCGTTGTCCGCAGGCGGTGAAAGCCGAGGATCTCGGCCAGTTGTCGGAAGAGGGCGGACTCAAACTGAGTACCTCTGTCGGTGACGACGTGCAGCGGCACACCAAACCGGGCCACCCAGACGTCCATGAAGGCGGCTGCGACGGTGGCTGCTGAGATGTCGGCGATAGGGGCCGCCTCCAGCCAGCGGGTGGAACGGTCAACACACGTCAGGAGGTACCGACACGGGGAGGTGAAAGACTCACCGTGAGGGATTGATGGCGGCAGAGGACCGACAATGTCGATGTGGATGGTCTCGAACCTGTCGCTGAGGAGAGAAAACGGAGACGGGACGGTTTTGGTGTGGCGGTGGACCTTACTCGATTGGCAGGAGGAGCACTCGCGTACCCACCGGCGGATACAGCGGTCCATGTCGGGCCAGAAGTAGCGCGACTTGACCAGCTGAAGGGAGGCCTTGACACCAGGATGAGCGAGGCTGTGCACCTGTTCGAACACATGAGTGCGGAGGGGGACTGGGACAAACGGCCTGGGAAGTGTCAGAGTGGTATCACAGAGGACGGTGAGATCAGCTGACAACGAGAAGGGTGTCAGCCGGTCCGAGTAGGCAGCTGTCTCCTGGTCGTCCCTCTGAGCCTCGGCGATGGCGTGCAGGTCGGCGGCGTCCACGGTGGCGGCGTTCACTGACGCTGTAGGCGTGGTGCTCGGTGGCGCGGCAGCCGCCAGCGACTCGGTGGCCGGGTGCGGCGCAGCAGTCACCGGGGTCATGCCAGTGTCGGCGGCGGTGCTGCTGAGCGCAGCAGACGGCGGATCGGGGCGCGCGCGCGCGCGGTCCGGTGCGGCGACAGATGGCCGCTCCGAGCGCGCGCGGGCACCGTCCGGCGCGGCGACCGGTGGCGGCTCGAGGCGTACCGCGCGCGCGGCGACCGGTGCGGCGACCGGAGGCGGCACAGGGCGCGCGCGCGCGCCGTCCGGTACGGTGACCGGAGGCGACTCAGGGCGCGCACCCGCACCGACGGGCGCGGTAGCCGCGCTGCCCAGTGTGGCCAGGAGTGATCCTGTCGGTGGCGAGGTCTCGGAGCTCTGGTCGGGCGGACTGAGGGCGTCGGGGGTCACAGGGCGACTCCAACAGTCAGCGACCACGTTGTCAGCCCCGCGCACGTACTGGACGGAGGAGACGTACTCGGAGATCACGCTCCAGTGCCGCTGCTGACGGTCCGACTTGGCCGTCTGCGGGCTGAGGAACGCGGTGGTGAGCGGCCGGTGGTCAGTGAAGAGCGCGACGACACGACCTTCCAACAGGTGACGGAAGTGAAGCACGGCCAGGTAGGCGGCCAGCAGCTCGCGGTCGTATGTTGAGTATCGCCTCTGCTGGTCGCTGAGCTTCTTGGAGAAGAAGCCGACGGGGACAGGCTGACCGTCCGCGATCTGGTACAGAGCTGCACCGGCTGCCACCTGGGAGCAGTCGGTGACCAGGTGGTAGGTCTCACAGGACGGCAGGTGATGTCGAATGGTGCATGCTGTCTGCAGTGCCTCCTTGATGTCTGTGAAGGCGGCGAGCTCCGTCTCGGTCCACGGGAGGTTGGTGCTCTTCTGGTTGTGCTTCATCAGCTCTGTCAGCGGGTGGACGATCTCGGCGAAGTGTGGGATCATCCGGCGGAAGAACCCGACCATCCCGAGGAATCGGCGGAGTGCTGTGGAGTCCGGTGGAGTCGGCAGATCTGCGATCTCCTCGATCTTGGCGTCTGGCGGCCGGAGCCCCTCGGCGGAGACGGTGTGGCCTAGATAGACCACCTGCGACTTGAAGAAGTCGCACTTGTCCAGCGAGATCCTTAGCCGGTGTCGATGGAGGATGCCGAGGACGGTCTGAAGGTCCTTGTGATGCTGCTCTGCGTCTGGCGAGAAGATCAGGACGTCATCCAGGTAGACGAAGACGCAGCTGACCTGGCGGAACAGCTGGTCCATCACACGCTGGAATGTAGCCCCACTGTTCCGCAGGCCCAGCGGCATGAACACGTATTCGTACGCGCCGAATGGTGTCGTTACAGCCGTCTTCTCCACATCCTGTGGCGACATAGGGATCTGGTGATAGGCTCTCAGCAGGTCCACCTTGGAGAACACACGCATCCCATGGAGACGGGTGCTGATGCTGTGGATGTGTGGCAGCGGGTAGCGGTCTGGCTTGGTCTTGCCGTTCAGCGCGCGGTAGTCCCCTGTCGCTCTCCACATCCCGGGTGTTTTCTTCGGGACCATGTGCAGAGGCGATGCCCAGGGAGAGTTGGACGGTCGGATGATGCCAGCCTCCAGCAGGGTGTCGAACGTCTTCTTGGCAGCTTCCAGCTTGTCCGGCGGGAGTCGTCTCGGACTGGCGAACGTCGGTGGAGAGCTGCCGGTGTCGATGTTGTGGGAGGCTGGAATCGGGCACGCATCAGCTTCTGTTCCCAGTTGCAGCGGCATCAGCAGAGAGGGGAACTGCTGCAGGAGTGTCTGGACCTCCGGTGGTAGACTGTCGCTCTGGTTGACCAGGAAGGCGCCGGGACCGGGGCGGTCGACGGGAGCACCTGGAGAACGGAGGGAGGTCACGGAGTCCAGGAGAGTCTGGGAACCACAGTCAACAAGGAGGTTGTGATGGGCAAGAAAATCATGGCCGAGCAGGGGAGCTGTGACGTCAGCAACAACAAACGACCAGAGGAAAGAACGGCGGAGGGCAGGAATGACGAAGGAGAGCAGTACTTCACCATGCGTTGGGAGAGGCGCTCCACTGGCGGTGGTGATGCGGACAGCTGTCGGCTGCAGGATGGCTCCCTTGACGACGTCCTGAGGCACCAGAGAGACGCCGGCTCCAGTGTCTACGATGAAGT